AAGCATGAGAATTGCCACCGTGCTTAAGGATCTGTCAGCTCACACACTGGCACAGGCACACACATGGGCTCACCAGCAAGATGTGGTACAAACCCAGGCTTAGAGCTTCTCCCCAGGCCTACTGGCAATAGAGTGGGGCCTGCAGCTAACAAACCTCAAAACCCAACCTGCTTTGTACAACACATACCCCTTTGTGCAGCACGTACCAGCTACAATTATATCAGTGCATCCCAAGTGTTAACTTGTTCTACTCAGAAGCGCTGAGGTTCTTGTTGGTTACACGAAAGCGGGGACACAGCCAACCACGGGGCTTCCATCCAGGCCTGGACCCCAGCCAGGTGTGCAGAGGTGTATCTGCAGTGCAGTGCTCCAGTCCCCATAGCTCTGCAGGAGCTGGGTGGGCCAAACAATAGTACTGCTTTTTAAATAACAAAACATGGTCTCATTTGACCAAGGCTAAAGCTGTGTGAGTAGTTCTGGACTGTGTGGCTCTCTTTATGGTCTCAAAACAACTACCCCTATTCAGTTGAGCAGCAGACACTCATCCACTCCCTCTTCTCAGGAAGTTTCCGCCACTGCTAGTTGGGAAAGTGAGTTTCCCCACAGCTGCAATCTCCTGGACTCAGACAGCCTGCACTTCTGCCAAGGTCCATCACTGCATCCTGATTAACAAGTATGATCACTCATCCCCCCCATCCAGTGTCAAAAATAGAAGTAACTTCCTGTTTCACCATTGCCCATGAGTGCTCACTTAAATTCATGGAAGTTCCACGAGAACCTGAGGTTTCCTCTCTATTAAAACTGGTTCCTGTGAGGCCACAACTTGCAGTAGCCTGTGCACCCCGCACCCCATGTTGTGTAACTGCTATTGAGCTGCAGAACACGTCCGCAACACCTGAAGAGGCTCTTCTTGTGCTGAAAAACAGAACATAAAAAAGTTACCACAGGAATCCTGAGGTCTTCTAAAAATGTAACAATTGCTTCCCCTCAGTTTCATTTACAACACTTAGATACAAAACCCTTCCATTCTCACCTGTGTTTTCCCAAGTTTTCACACTACACAGAGGTACTTACCTACACCCAGCTGAATCCACACCCTTACCTTGAAGCTGTTACCACTCCACAAAGCATTTCTGTAGATAATCACAGAAGGAAACCATCACAGCAGCTTCTCCAATGTCAGGATCAGAGCACTCATTTCAATGCATCTTTACCTGCTTTTTTCACAGGCCCTAAGGCAGCAGTGCACCAGTGACTCTACAGCTCTCCCCCTTCATCCAAAAAGGCTGCAGACAACAAAGAATTTTGAAACTCAAAGAGAAATAAAAGTTGTGTCACCTCTACAAGCCATTATGAAAACCTTCCCACCCAGCTGACTTGTGTGCTTGCAATTACACAGGGTCAACAATTAGAACACACAAACTGAGAGAAGGCCAACATCTTCACAGTTCTCCGAGCTCTGCTGACATGGGATGGTGACCCCACAAAAACAAAACTCCTTAAAACTTATCCAGAAATGCTTTTACACTCCATCTTGTATACACACACATTTTTCATGCAGATTGCAGGCATGTTTTCAGTATGTCATCCAGTGAAGGCTGAATTTACAACAAAGTCTTTCAAGTTCTAATTAGGAGCACAAATTTACCATGATGAAAGCAAGGAAAGCATACAAACACGTACTAATTGTTTCTTTGCAGAAGGCCAACACATTACACATTCCTACTCATCCTTGTTCTCTGTACCACCTTCCACGACTTCCAGCTGCTTCTCCTCACTCTCAGGGCACAGAGCGGTTGCTTACCTGACTGCACTCAGACCAAATTCATTTCTGCAAAAAGGAAAACGTGTGGTTTCTGCAGTGTATGATGCTGGTACAGCAAAGCACAGACAAACATGACAGCTTAGCAGGTTCAGGACCATACAAATACTTGAAGCAGTTTCCATAAAATGCATTAAACCAGAGTATACCCATGTATTTAGAATACAGCAAAGGCAGGCCTTCAGTTCTTTAGTCACTTTGTGTCTTTTCACATGGAACACTGACACAGTGCTTATTTCTGCAATATGGCTTTAAGCTTCTTGTGGATCTCGCAATTAAGACCTGCTGGGTCAGGAGGTAAGTGGGTGTGAGCATTTCCAGAAGAACAGTGTAAGAAGATTACCTAAGTTTGAGATAATACAGGTTTTAAAATTCCAAGTTCTAAGCAGTGTAAAATCTAGCCTGACAAATATTGGGTACCCCCAAACTGCGGTGAACTATACCACACAGGAAACGATTTGTTGGGCACATCAAGCATTCCCTTCATTACTTTTTCACATCAATTCTCTCCTCATTGAGACATCAGCAGCATCTACACCATTGGATAAAGAAACACATAAAACAGTGAAGTAATTTCATCTGTAAAGCAGAATCCTTGTCTCCTACCCAGAGCAGCAGCATGGAAACAAAATGGATGAAGGAAGAGAAGGAATCATTGCAGGTGATATCAGTGATATTTAATACAAAAAAGCAAAGTATGTAGTTACTATGTCAGCAAATTTATCCTGGACAATTTCATATCCATGTTTTCTGCCATTTGTAGAAAAGACACACACACCCTATCACACTACTTACCATCATTATTTGGTATCATCTGCACAAACATAAGATAAGCTTAGCTTTAAAGTTTAAGGACAGCAACAGTTCTGATATATAATACTATCTGTTTTTTTCCCCTTCAACAAAGCTAAAGCATTCACATAGAGAAAAAAAACAACAAAGAGAGTGATGCTTTTAATTCAAAATTCTTCAGATGCGTAAAACTAAACTGGAAATTATAGTAGCAGAAGAGCTTTATATTCTCCTCTTCTGTGATGAATGAGGCAAAAATGGCTAAGGTGGGGTGGGCAAAAGCTACATGAGGTGTATGTGCTGTCCTAAGATGCCTGACCTTTTGTGGGAAGATGTAGAAGGCAGGAAGCTGGCTCAGATCCTTTGACAAGAGGGATGTGGATTTAAAGAGATAGAAGGATGGCAAGTAACGCTACAATACCAACAAATATTTCAAGACGCCAAGGTTTAGGTTTTGTGATGTGAATTAGTTAGCATCTCATGATAGTCCTTCACCATCTGATAGCACCGTGGGGAAGACAGAACACCACGCCTGTGCAGTTTACTGTGAGGTGTTATCCTGAGAAATTCACTGCACTTACCTCCAGGAGGAGCCAAAATACTTTAGAAAAGAAAAACTCGCAAATTCTTTTTCCTGACCTATACCACTACTGGGCTTTGGCCCATACTTCCAGGGAGCCTATGAAATTCTCCAACTCCTCTCAACGGAGTATCTTCTTGAAGGAATAAAACACTTTATTTCACAGGAATCAGCTGTAATGAGAAACGAAGTTATTTAACACACCATACAACACGCTGCGCTTCCTCCCACTTTGGAGTAAGGATTATTTCAGCAATAACCACCCCTTCCCTTAACAGAAATTCACCTCCCCTTTGACAAATTCCGTGACACAGAGCACCACACAAGCAGCAACAATGCTCAGTGCACAGAACTCTACACGCCATTTCCTCAAAGCAGCAGCCAGGAAGAGGGTGTGAAGCTGAGGCAGCACACAGTGGGAGTGCTGATAAAGACTAGCCAATGTGACACAGCAAGCACTGCTTAGAAAGCAGGGAAACAAGGCAGCTCAGCCAACTCAGGCTGGCTGAGAGAAGCCTGGAGAAAAGAAGGCTGTGGGGTGACCTCATTGCAGCGTTTCAGTACCTAAAGGGAGTCTATAAACAGGAGGGGAATCAACTCTTTGAAAGGGTTGATAACTGCAGGACAAGGGGAAATGGTTTTAAGTTGAGGGAGGGAAGATTTAGGTTGGATGCTGGGGGGAAATTCTTTACAGAGAGAGTGGTGAGGTGCTGGAACAGCTGCACAGAGAGGTTGTGGATGCCCCATTCCTAGAGGTGTTCAAGGCCAGGTTGGATGGGGCCCTGGGCAGTCTGGTCTGGTATTAAATGTGAAAGTCGGTGGCCCTGCATGTGGCAGGGGGGTTGGAGCTTCATGACCCTTGAGTCCCTTCCAACCCTGGCCATTCTGTGATTCTGTGAGAGAAATGAACCCCACAGAATGCCCTGGGCTGGAATGAACCTCAAGAATCATCAAGTTCCACCCCCACAGCCACAACCACCCTTCACATTTAATACTAGACCAGGCTGCCCAGGGCCCCATCCAACCCGCCCTTGAGGGTTATCCCATTATCCCACCTTACCCTCTCCCCGCGCGTGACTCTATAGATAAACGGAGAACAGCGCGCTGAGCAGCGAGCAAAGCTCCTCCTGCTGGCCACAAATCGCCCTCAGCAGCCACGCACCCCCAGCTGCAGCACGGCCCAACGGCCCCGCAGGCACACGCTGCTCCCTGAGTGCTTTCCCGCCTCCGCGCCGCCTCAGCCCCGCAGACAGAACGCACGAAGGGCGGGCAGCTCGGCGCCGCGTTCCGGCAGCCTCCCCTCCCGCCTCAGCGCGGTCCCGGCTCGCACCGCCTCACACGGCCGCGCACCCACCTCCGCGGGCGCCGCTCTCCGCCTCAGGACCCCACTAACCGCGAGCCGCCACGGCGCCCTGCCCCTCCGCTTCCAGCCCTCCGCACCGTCTCGGAGCGGCCGCCCAGCTCCCCGTTTCCCGACATCTCGCAGCCGCTCCTCCTGCGCTAAAGCGATCCCACGCCACCAACATGGCGCCCGCCGCCCGCTCCCCCCCCGCCCTCGGTCGCTACCTGGAGGCTGCGCGGCGCGGGGGCTGCCGGGATGCCGAGTGCTCAAGCCCCTTCGCTCCCTACGGCATCCAGGCGCCAAAAACTACAATTCCCAGAATCCTTTTCTCCAACCAATGGGAACGCGGCGCCTCTCCCTCTCGCTCCGCCCCCGCGGGCGAGAGGGTGATGTCATCGCCCGTTCATTGTGCTCGCGCGGTGCCGCCTCCCGCTGCCGCTGCCAGCGCCGGGCACGGCGGGGGGGGGCGCGGGGCTGCGCCGCGCTGCGCTCCCGCTCCGTGCCCTGCGCCGTTTGGGGCTGCCCCAGTGCTGGACCGGCACACCACGCCCCACCCCCTTCCAGCCCGAGGTTTCCGAACGCATCCCGGGAGCGGCAGGCAGCCGCACGCCGGGGTTCAGCTCCCTGCTGGGGGTGAACGGGGCTGCCCTGTGCCCGACCCCGGGGGGGGGCGGCAGCGCGGCGGGGGCTGCCCGGTGCCAACCCCCGGGGGGGTGGACACAGCCGTCCGGCCCCGCTGTGCTCGGCTCCCGCCTCGTTTTACGGTCGTGGAGAGGGAGGAAAAATCCCAAACCAGGTGAGTGCTGCGCTCCTTTTCTTAAAAAAAAAGAAAAAAAATACAGAACGTGCGGGGATTCGGGGCGGTTTTTCGTTTAGGGTTGTTGAATTGTCCCCCCTCCTTCCTCCTCTTCAATGCGTTTGTCCAACGCACGGTGCATTGCCCAACGCGGGGAAGCGCTGCCGAGCGGGTTTAGGGAAAAGGAGAGAAAAAAAAAAAAAAAAAAAGGAAAAAAATCCAGACCGAAGGGGAAAAGCTAAATTGAAGGGAGAAATCCAAATTTAGGGGAACGAAGCCAAATTCATGGGGAAAAAAACAACAACAACAGCAAGAAATGACAGAAATAATTCGGCTACGGAGCGCTGCGCGTCCCGGGGAGCGCCGGGGCGGGGATGGGGACGGAGCAGCGCCCCGCGTGTCCCGCATCGCACCGGCGGGCTGTACCGCTATGTTATGTCATGTATTACCGTTATGTCACGTATTACCGCTGTGTTATGTGATGTATTGCCGTTATGTGACTGCTTGCTCCCATTGCCCCTCCTTTCGTGATGCACTGAGATCGGGCTGGAAAAGAAACAAACAAAAGGACCGACCTCGCAAAAAGTCGCATAAGGGGGGTGTTTGTTTATTCGTTTATTTTTTCTTCTCTAAGTTTTGTTTTGTTTTTAGGATGTTGTTAAGGTTTTTCCTTGTTTTTTTTTAATTTTTTTTTAATTTTTAATGAGCCTTTGGGATCGGTGGTGCGTGGTCCTGCAGGACCCCCCCCCTCTGAGCCCTTTGCAGTAGGTTGGGGTTCAATCCTGGCTGTGTGCAGTGATTTCAGGCTCCGTTTCCCAGCTACCCGCTTCCTTATTCCAACTTCCATGCTGTCGGACACAGCCCTTTCCCTATTGACAAACATGAGAGGGCAGCTATTTTAAACTTCTTAACAACTTTGTGCTCTGGCAGAGCTCCATTCTGCCGCATCCTCTTTGCTCCTTGCGAGATCTTCTCTTGCACATTGCTATGTCAGTGCAAGATGCAAAGAAACTTCCCCAGCATGGCACCCCATGGGGCTTTTCCCCTTCTCCAACCCCGCTGCTGCAGCATGGCAGGGTCCTCTTCTTCCTTCCTTCCTTCCTCTGCAGTACAAACTCTGAGGAGATGAACAGCTACATGTAGAGGAGTCGCCTTTGTTGTGTCATTTTTTTTTTTAAACCATATTTATTTCCTGGAATGCCATTTTCCTCTTTATTTTAGAAGGGAGGGAACTGGGAACCTAATGCAGGGTTTCCCTTCCTGCCTGTGAAGAAGTCTTACAGCAGTGATTTCATTAGGTGTGAAGGTGCCACTGGGAATGACGTGATCACTTGAGAGCATATCCTGGGAACTGCTCTGGGAAATGGTGATATGGAACTTGCAGGAAGGAGCACAAGTCCATGGGTTTGTGGTTTAAAAGTAATGCCACTTCTGTGATGATGCTGATATTGGATGCTGCTGTCATCTTTATTTGCACTTCTATCTTTATGTAGATTTATTGGGATCAATGCTTTGTTATTATTGACTTCTGTGCTGGCATCCAAGTTACTCAAAATGTAATTGAAGAGGAATTTAAACTGAGACAGGGGAGGTTTAGGTTAGATATTAGGGGGAAGTTTTTCACTCAGAGGGTGGTGAGGCACTGGAACAGGTTGCCCAAGGAGGCTGTGGATGCCCCATCCCTGGAGGCATTCAAGGCCAGGCTGGATGTGGCTGTGGGCAGCCTGGTCTGCTGGTTGGTGACCCTGCACATAGCAGGGGGTTGGAACAGGATGATCATTGTGGTCCTTTTCAACCCAGGCCATTCTATGATTCTGTGATAAGTAGTGCAGAAATCTGTGCTGTAAGATGAAATTTTGCTTTGCAGCATTAGACACAAAAATGGACCAAAAGCTGCAAATCACTCAGGAGCTCAGTGACTGTGGGGCAAACACAAAGCTGGACTCAGGAATTCCTTCCTTTTCAGTAATTGGAATCAAATGGTTTCAAACTGAAAGAAGGGAGGTTTAGATTGGATATAAGGAAAAGTTTTTTACAGTAAGGGTGATGAGGCATTGGCACAGGTTGCCCAGAGAGGTGGTGGATACCCCATCCCTGGAAACACTCAGGCTGGAGAGGGTTCTCAGCACTGGATCGAGCTGTAGGTGTCCCTGTTCATTGCAGGGGAGTTGGACTCAATGGCCTTTAAAGGTCCCTTCCAACTCAAATAATTCTATGGATTTCCTATCCAGGAATTGAGGTCTGGGGAGGAAATGAGTTTGTTTGAGGAGGAGGTGGTGGAGGAGGGTTCTGTGCCAGAGGCTGAGCTTCACCACGGGATGGACAGGTCAGGTGATGGTTATGGAGCTTTCCTCTGTTATGCTCCCCTTTTCTCCAGCCTTGCAAAATGTAGAATCAAAGAATTGTAGAGGTAGGAAGGGGCATCCGGAAATCATTCGGTCCAAACAAGAAATCATAGCAGCTGGGGATTGAATAAATTCGCTAATTCTTAAAACATTTCTTTTTTCTAGGGCAGGACCAACAGTATGAATGCAAGCCTTGCCCTCAGCAAGGACTGAGAAATGTGGCAGGAGCTAATTCCTGCATTTTGCCATCAGCTCCCAGGCAATAGGACAGCTAAAGATTCATGGCAGTAGTGTGACCAGCGTGGCAGGAGCTTGTGGGGAGGGCATGCCCAGCAGTGCTGAGGCTGTTGAACCTGAGAGGCTTGCATGAATGCTTGCAGAGCTTGAGAACTGGGGGTTCAGTAGACAATAAAATGACCTTTTTTATTACAAGGTGGATTTCCAGTGCTAAAACCATCCGGGTGTGTAGACAGAGGTTTGGGCAGAGATGTGTTCTGCAGCCCAAGCTGGGCTGGTGCTGAGTGTTACGTGACCTAAGGCAGTGTTTTGATTCACTCTTCAGCTCCTGTGATTTCATTTTGCAGCAAGTCACTTAGCTTCCTTCCCTCCCATCGATTCTGTCAGTAGCTGACTAACTCCTCATTTTGTTTTTAATGGCTCTCTTACAGTGTGAAACAGCTGTTCTGTCATGTTTGTCATGCAGTCCTGGTGGCTTATGGTCATGAATTTATATGGAGAGAGTTGGGTCAAATATTTCTCAGGTGTGAATATGTTGAATTAATTAGGGCAGAACAGGACTTGAACATGTCCCTTGTCAGTACTTAAACAGAATCTGCACCACCTGAAAGTATGTCACTGTTACAGTAGTTTTATAACTAAGCTGTGCTACTAAGCATTGGCTCTGAATGTAGGACAAAGGCAAGGCATTAGTGAGATTTGTGTTGTGGTGTTATTTGATTTCACCTTACGTAGATAAAAGTGATTAGAGGGCTTGTTGCGTTGGGCTCTGGAGGGATATTGAGGCTGCAAACATCTTGAGAGCTAATTGCTGTTTGTCACCTCACCTGGAGTTACTGCTCTTCTACTTCTCTCTATGAAAGGACTGTATCCTGCAGAATGAGTTTAAATGAGGAAATAAAAGGATGTTACAGGTGCCAAAGTTGCAGAAGTCAAGTGATGCCTGGGTGACCCGGTCCTGCTAGAGGTGCTGGATGCAGGAAGGAACGTGATGCAGGGCCCCAGCAGCCCAACCCATGGCTGCACTGGGCTGCTCCTCATCTGCCAGGAAGTCACAGGGAACTAAACTGTGCTGTTTGACTGTGTGTGCACCGATAGGGAAGGGGCTGCTAAAGATGCTGGACTAAAAGAATGACGTGTCTGATGAGGAAGTCGTGTTCTGCCCTGAGCTGGGTGAATCTGAAGGCGCAGGGACTTGTCAAGCCCTCTGGTCTTTCTAGCAGTCATAGAATCTTAGAATGGCCTAAGTTGAAAAGGACCACAATGACCACCTAGTTTCAACCCCCTGCTATGTGCAGGGTCACCAACCAGCAGACCAGGCTGCCCACAGCCACATCCAGCCTGGCCTTGAGTGCCTCCAGGGATGGGGCATCCACAGCCTCCTTGGGCAACCTGTTCCAGTGTGTCACCACCTTCTGAGTGAAAAACTTCCTCCTAATATCTAACCTAAACCTCCCCTGTCTCAGTTTAAAACCATTCCCCCTTGTCCTATCACTATCCACCCTTGTAAACAGTCGTTCCCACTCCTGTTTTTTTACATTCCTTTCAAGTACTGGAAGGCCACAATGAGGTCTCCCCAGAGCCTTCTCCAAGCTAAACAAGCCCAGTTCCCTCACCCTTTCCTCACAGGAGAGGTGCTCCAGCCCTCTGATCATCTCAGTGCCCTCCTCTGGAGCCGTTCCAAGAGCTCCATGTCCTTCCTGTACTGGGGGCCCCAGACCTGGATGCAGTGCTGCAGATGGGGCCTCACAAGAGCTGAGTAGAGGGGGACAATCACCTCCCTCTCCATGCTGGCCACCCCTTTTTTAATGCAGCCCAGCACACAGTTGGCCTTCCGGGCTGCAAGCACACACTGCTGGCTCGTGTCCAGCTTCTCATCCACCAGGACCCCCAAGTCCCTCTCTGCAGGGCTGCTCTGAAGGGGTTCTTTGCCCAGTCTGTATAAACACCTGGCATTGCCCCAACCCAAGTGCAGCACCTTGTCCTCCTGCTCCAAGGTATCATCCATAGGTACTGAAGTAGTGAGAACTGTGGAAAAAGCTGAGATCCATGTTCAGGACTTAGATCAATGCCTTCGTTTTGGAGGTGAGTGTCGATGTTTCCAGGTGATCAGATGCCAAGTGAAAGGGTTTGCTGGGCTTGGAGAAGAAGTTACTCTCCAGCTGCCCAGATTTTGGTTTTGCTGTACTGTGAACTGTGCTTTCAGTAATAAAAAGCTGACTTGAAAAATAATCATTAGCACTTCTCTGTGATTTAAATTTCATTGCCTGAGCTCAGAGTAATGGAAAATAGATCAGTCAAAGCTTTTTATCTAACAAGTTTCTAAAGGCAGCCAGCTTCATTTCTAATTAGTGAGAGGTTCTCTGTAGGACCATCTTCTCTGCTTCCAGGGCCTGATACATGTTATGTTCGTGACTG